TGTCTTCGCTCTACGTCAAGCAGATGCACTCTTCGCTGTCTAGCAACATGAAGGCCGAGACTGTCCAGCGTGCTCTGAGCATGTCTGAGTCGCAGTTCCAGCAATCTACCCGCGAAAACGGCTACAGCCACGAGTCCTCACTCACTAGCTTGAGGGAGCTTGCGTCTTTGTACTCGCGCCAGCAGAAGTCGGACGTTGCGGTCAAGCAGATCTCCAAGGCTGTTTCCGAGATTGTGTCTAAGGAGACCTCGTCGCAGAAGCAGATCGAGTCGGCCAAGTCCATTGCCGCCACCTTCCAGGCTATTGAGCAGACCAGCACTGCTCACGCCATGGTTCAAGAGCTTCACCGTCAGATCTGCGCCAAGGATGCCCGCAACGCCTCCAAGTGGTCGTTCGACTTGACCAAGAGCAGCCGCACCGCGATTGCCTTCCTGGCATCTCTCCAGTACAACCTGCGCAGGGATCTCAGCATTGGCTTCTCGGAGATCTACGCTGATCTGACCATGGAGTACATCTACTGGGTGCAGTTCCACTCGACTCTGGACAACAACGAGAGCCTTACCAACATATTGCTCGCTGCCGCTCCTCTCCGCTACTTCTTGCGCCGCAACGATCAGCAAGACATGATCACCGTTGTCGAGGAGCAAGCCGTTGGTCTGTTCGTCAAGCGCGACGCCCAGGACCTGAAGGACTTCAGCAAGGAGTCGCCACGCATCTTCATCATTGGCATCCTTGACTATCTCGGCCACGGACGCAACAAGAACTTCAACCGCGCCGTTATTCTCTCCAGCAATGACAGCGTCGCCAAGCTCACCAAGGCGAAGAAGTTCCACGAGGCTTACGACATTGCCAACCTTGGCTTCCTCTTCGCCCGCAAGAACGACGGTTACAACGGTCCTCGTGCTATCAGCATGGGCTTCAAGCTCGCCTCCCTGCTCGTCGGCCGGGATGGTGAGAAGTGCCCCGACGCCACTCTCCGCAAGAAGATGCTGGACCTTTCCAACCGCATCGTCAAGCAGATCTTCGAGATTTGCAAGAACCTCAAGATCAACTTCGCTCAAGTCCAGCTCTACGAGCTGTCCCACCTGTCCGCTCTTCTCGGCGAACAGGAAGACTACGAGACCCTCGAGTGGCTCCTCACCACTCTCTGGCAAACCCGCGACGCCCAGCGCTCATGGCCCTCCGAGGTCCTGCTCAACCTCGGTCGCCGTCTCATCTGCGCCCGCTACCTGGCGAACCACCAAGTCAAGGCCATCCGCCTCGCCGAAGACATCGCTTACAACATGCGCCGTGCCCACGGTCCCCGCGCCCCCGTCACCATCGAGACGTACGAGCTGCTCGCGCAGCTCTACACCTCCACCGGCCACGCCTACCAGGCGCAAGCCGCCAAGGGCGAGAAGACGGCCAGCCTCGCAGCCGACTACTTCAAGAAGGCCATCAGCGTGCACGAAGACATCCTGCGCGTCCTCGTCAACGACCAAACCTCCGCCTCCAACGACTCGGACGACGAAGACGACACCACCGCCGAGCTCCTCGCTCGCGAAGGCGTCAACGTCCAGAACTCACCTAACAGCCCCCGTCCCGCGGCCGTCGACTCAAACACACTCGACAAGTCGGCCACTGCGCTCAAGCACTTGCACCTCCTCAAGCTGGCGTACCAGCGCTACGGCGGCTGGCCCAAGAGCTACAGCGAGTACGAGCATCTCAATGCTCAGCTCTTCCGTCTTTTCGGCGCAGAGGCCAAGTGGAAGGGTGTTGAGGGCACCGAGAAGTGGGATGCGAAGACGTTCGGTGCTGGCAAGGCGGAGAGCCAGGAGGGTGGCTTCCGCGGTATTGCCGACTGGAGCCTTGGCAGTGAGGAGCTGGTTTCTGTTGGCCATGGACATGGTCAGGGACAGCATGGTGCTATGGTTGGTAATGGTGTTGTTGCTCCGCTCAAGACTCACATTGACTACTAAGAGGTTGCATTTGGTCTGTTTCGATTAGCGCGTTTTGATCGTTGCTCACACATTTCCTTGAGTCATTGAGTCATTGAGTTGGAGATGAAAGAGGTTTTGCTTGTTTCGATCAACAGGTTTTGATCGTTTTTACAAAAGTTTACACTTTTCTTCCTTTGTGTCAGTTAGCTAGTTGGTAATAATAGTTTCACGGAGTTTCTCAATCGATCATCCTTCTTTACATCTTTTCCATTGGTGCTGTGACGCTTACCTATATACAATGATACTTCAAGTTACCCTATCATCTGACTGTCCTTCTGTGCGTACTCTACTCTTTGCTCAACAACTGCGCAATCGAATCCGCTGTGGCGTTGTGGATAGGGAAGGTAGGATGTAGCTCGTTAAGCCACAAGTACTCGTTAACCGGGTACTCGCACGAAGCATCCTTGGTGTACCAATCTGGTGTTCCACTTTCAATCTGTTAGCAACTTTCTCTGTCATATCCAAGCAGTACTTACTTCATATACGCCGCACAGTAGCCCGTGACATTCTTCAATCCGGCCGTTTGCTCATAGCTCGCGGGGTCCTCAATAACCTTACTGAACAAGCTCCACGTATCATGCACAAACACCTCCGTCCCGCTGTGATTCGCCTGAAACGCATCCACCATCTCGCCGAGTCTCTTATTCCAATCTAGAATGACCTTTCCCTCGTTCTCCACCGCGTAACCGCCATCATCCTGGTTCAGCGTTTGCGGCGCAAGATTTACAGGCGGCACGCTCAGGAACAAGAAGTTGCGCGCTCCAGTTTCGTACACGTCGTTGAGGAGGTCGGAGTAGACAGAGAAGATGTTGTCGTAAAGCGTGGCGTTGTTGAGCCACCAGCTGTTTCCTACGTCGTTGATGCCGATGAAGAAGGCGAAGAGGGAGGAGGATGACGTCCAGGGTGCAGTCGCAGGGTGCGAACCGTACGTAGGCAGGAATTCGGTACGGACTTGGTTCTTCATGCTGATGACTGTGGGGGCGTATGGTGTCACGAGGTCGGAGTCAACAGTAGCGCCACCGTAGGCCATGTTATAGGTGAGTAGGTCGCTGGCATTGTAGGTTGTAGAGAGGAAGCCGACCCAGTTGGGACCGTTGGAGGACGTGTAGCCGGGGTACGCCGGGTTGCCGAACGGGTTTGAGGCGCTGGGTTGTGTCCCGTTTACATCGAAGCCGGTTTGTGTGTAGGAATCACCGAAGACGAAGAGTTGTTTGACATTTTCCCAGCCTGACCATGATGAACTGTTTGTGTATGGAGCCGCGAGGGTTGTAGTTGCTAAAGATAGCGTGAGGGTAATTGACTTGACCATTATGTTGTGCGTTATCTGCGGTTCAGACAGAATGAAGGTAGCGAGTAAATAGGCATTGAAGAGAGAACGGCACGGTAAGTATAACAAGGACAGAATGATGCCAGTACCCAACTAATCTGGGTCCGGACCAGACGATCTACAGGTGCGAACGAGGTAAATTGCTCGAGATTGCTTGACGTATGCGAACACCCCACATATTGCAACTAGAGCGCATACTACACTGAGTCGCTCGCGGAATAATTTTGGAAGGACGTTTGTGATGCACTAACGGCTTGCGCGTGAGTAGTGCGCGTAGAATGCTTGCCCGGAACGAGGTCCGAAGAGGGTGACGCTCCGTGTTGTAACGGGTATAGTGGGTCGGTGAGCATCATCGTCGACGCGCGATATTGGAGTTGCACTCCAGATTACTGATCTGAATGGATATGAAACACGTGCGATGTTTGTAACTGTGCTTACCTTGACACAGGGTGGCTGGTAGAAACTTCTGGCGCGAGGTCAGTGCGGCAGACGTTGTGAGATGCAGGCAACAATGATATGGCGCAGTCTTCGCGACCCTTGAATGTTCAAGCTCAGATGAGAGAGTATGCGAATTGATGTGTCCTCCTGGGGTATGCAAACGCGTTATGGTGTGCGTCTCCGAGGTCCCGTCTGCGTGAAGGGAGCGGGTGCAGTCCCACCATCTCAGAACGACAACAAAATTGGGATGAAGCCAAGACTGAGTGAAAGTGTTTCTGGAAGAGAAGCGAAAAGGGAAGAAAGTGTATCAAAAAGCGCCGGGCAGTGTGGTTGCATTTGCGAGAGAACTGGACCTGAGGGTCGGCTGTGAAAGTGGGGCGTGTCACAGGCACTCAATCAGCGCTCGTATACACGTATAGCGATGCGACCGGCGTACTTCGTACCGGCAGCCAGCGGACCTCTGTCACGAGATGTAGAAGGCAGCAAGTATTCGGCCGTAGTCAGGTATGATATCAGTCGGATGGAACGGGATGATGCGGGAGTCGGAAAGCAGGAAAACATCCAACGGCCGAAGCAGGATGCACATGAGAAATGCGTCAGAGGGCGTGCGGGCAGCGAACACCTGCTTTCCCATGCTGCTGCCGCATGGGAAACAGGATGGAAGAAAGACGGGTAAATATCACAAAGTGTGTGGCTAGAAAGCCGGTCAGTCGAGTAGCTATGGGTGGAAAAGGCGTGGCTGAGGAAAAGATGGCTTGGTAAGGCTGAAGACCCTGGCTACCAGCCGCCCGCGTAGACCGCCCGCGTCGACACATGTCATCCACGCATTGGAACGTCTTCTGCCCGTTGCGCTACGTTTTTTTGCATAGCTGTTACAAAGAAGCAACGTGGTAGTTCCCCTTAGTACTCTTGAACAGTCTGGAGCCAGAAAAGGGTCAAATTACCCCCAGATCGGCGCTCTACTGTTCGGCTTCGCAGCAATCCGCATTCCGAGTCGACAACATCGTCACCAGCGCGCCCGTGAAAGCTGACAAGGCACCGAACACCCGCCCGACCCTTAGCAATCCGACTTCCGAAATGCCCGGCTGCTAGGAAACATCGTCACCATCGTCACCGTCGATCCCTGCATTCGCTCCACCGCCAGACATTTATACACGCTTGCGCTACACGCCTGCACCCCGCGTATTTGTACAAAGATTCACCCCCACGACCACCTTGACGCATAACAAAGAGAGTTGTAGTAGCAGAGTTCAGCCATGGCGGGAATGGAGAACATCGAGGTGCATAGCAAGGTATGTACAGCATCCACGTCGCGCTTCCTCGCTGACTGAAGGCAGTCGTACCTTGTAAGATGGGTCAATGTCTCGTCAGGCCACACCATCTCCTGGAGCGTCCAACCCCACAAGAAGTCGCTCAACTTCGGCATCTTCAAGCACCCCGGAACAGCTACCGGCGCAACTCCCCAGCTGCCCACGTCTGCGCTCGTCGAATCCGGACCCGGCACGCCTACCCTCGAGCCACCTACAACACGCGGACGCGGAGCTTCGACGTCGCGGAATGACAGAACAGTCGTACTAGACAAGCTGGCGGCTATTGGGCTGCGGCAAGTGCATTGGCATGGGAAATGCGAGGCGGATCTGGTATCCATGGGCACATACGACGTACCGCCAGGCGAGGGTGGCATGTACGGACTGGTCTTTGACAACACCTTCTCCAAGACCGTGTCAAAAACAGCCACCTTCGTCCTCATGACATATCCGACCAACGCGGCGCCCAAGTCTGGCCATCACATGCACTACGCGCAGGCCATGGCAGGCGCGAGCACCACGAGCCTCCCGAAATCGAGCCCCTCCATGGGCCCCATCGAATCCTCCGAATCCCTACCACAAACCTACGCCGAGCGACCGAAATCACAATATGGGCAGAAACAAGGGAGCCTTTCCGGCTCCTCATTCCTGACAGGAGTACTGCAGAAGAAGAGGAGAAAGAGGAATCAGGGCTATGCCAGGAGATTCTTCTCCTTGGACTTCACGTCCTCAACGCTCTCCTACTACCGGAACGACCATTCATCCGCACTGCGAGGAGCCATACCTTTGTCACTAGCGGCTGTGGGCGCGAACGAGGAGACACGCGAGATATCCGTCGATTCTGGCGCTGAGATCTGGCAGCTGCGAGCAAACAATGAGAAGGACTTTCAGATGTGGAAGAACGCCCTCGATCGCGCCTCAAGAACCGCTTCGGATAGAGGGGCGGTTGCTTCACCAACTCTGCAAATCCAGGACAGCCCATACCAGAGCCTCCCACACGTTCTGAATTCAGCCGAAGAGAACGAATGGGCAAGAGTCGAGGCCCTGGTTGGCAGAGTCTCAGGTACACGGGATGCAGTACGGAGGTTAGCTCAGGATACCGATCCAAAGTACAACGCATCGTCTGCGATGAGCGTTAGAAACATGGGCGATAGTCTCTCCCCAACGCCGTCCAACGACGAGGCGGGTGACTACTTCCCAGAACAAAAGGCCCCTGAGAAGATGGCTTTCTGGAAGCGCAAGCCGAGCAGTTCCGGCACTCAGAGTCCATCCGGCGGCATTTTCAGCAAGAGGAGTGTGTCAGCGCAAGTAGGAGTTGCGTCGCCTGGAGCCGTCCCTCCTGGTGCCTCCAATGCGGCCGGTAATGGCACCCTTGCCGTACCCAAACGCAATGGACGCGCGAGCACCATGATGAGCTCCGCAAGCATTCCACATGAGGAAAGCGTTCACGACAACTGCATGGCTCTACTTCGAGACCTAGACTCTGTTGTCAGGGACTTCGCTGACCTGATTAGCGAGAGCAAACAAAGACGAATGCCCCCGGCTGCACCTCTTTCTGCCGTAGGATCACGGCACAGCTTCGACTCAGTGGCCGAGTCTGTAGATGAGTTCTTCGACGCGCCAGATGGCGACGCAAGCAAGTCACAGCTTCTGACCATCCGGCGCGACAGTCAAGAGGACAGCCGCGAACGTGAGCAGTCACCAGATGCCGATTCAGATGGCGAGTCGGAGTCTTCCTCAGAGAATGGCAGTGTGGGAATGTTGGACCGACCTCGCATGTCGCGGGAAACCACTCCAGCACTCTTCCCTACACGTCCCAAGTCGCTCACACCTCTGCCACTTGACCCTGTGAAACGTCGGGGCACAGTCCCAGCCCCCAAGGTTCAGCCTCCAAGTCTCATCGCATTCTTCAGAAAGAATGTCGGCAAAGACTTGTCAACCATTGCCATGCCGGTATCAGCTAACGAGCCCACATCCGCGCTGCAACGATTGGCAGAACAGCTAGAATACAGCGAGCTGCTCGACGCCGCAGTGACTGCCACTCCAGACAACGGCGAGCGCCTCGCCTACATGGCCGCCTTCGCCATCTCCGCCTTCAGCAACGCCCGCGTCAAAGACCGCGCCATCCGCAAGCCCTTCAACCCCATGCTAGGCGAAACCTACGAGCTCGTCCGCGAAGACAAAGGCTTCCGCTTCTTCGCCGAGAAGGTCGTCCACCGCCCCGTCCGCATGGCCTGCCAAGCCGAAGCCAACGAATGGACCTTTGTACAATCCCCCACGCCCATGCAAAAGTTCTGGGGCAAGAGCGCAGAAATCAACACCGAAGGCCGCGTCCGCATCTTCCTCCACGCCTCAGGCGAACACTACTCCTGGACGCTCGCCACATCCTACCTACGCAACGTCATCGCCGGCGAAAAGTACCTCGAGCCCTCTGGCACCATGACCATCATCTCTGAAACCACAGGCGCAAAGGCCGTCTGCACATTCAAAGCCGGCGGCATGTTCGCCGGCCGCTCAGAAGAAGTCTCCGTCCAAGTTTTTGACGCTTCAGGTTCCGTGCTGCCCATAGGTCTAACAGGGAAATGGACGTCAGACCTCCAACTCACGTCCTCGGGCCAACCCACCGGAAAAACAATCTGGAAAACGGGTGATCTGGTTGATAAAGCAGAGAAACACTACGGTCTTACCACTTTCGCTGCTGCACTCAACCAAGTCACATCCATAGAGCAAGACCACATGGCGCCCACTGATTCCCGTTTGCGACCTGATCAGCGCGCGTTGGAAGACGGGGATGTGGATAAAGCAGAGGCGCTGAAGGCGAAGTTGGAAGAGAGGCAGCGGAGTCGCCGCCGTGTGCTCGAGGAACATGGCCAGGAGTGGCAGCCTAGGTGGTTTACCAAGGTGGGGCCTGTGGAGGCGGCGGCGTTGGGCGATGAGGAGGTTTGGAGGCTCAAGGGCGGGAAGGACGGGTATTGGGATTGTAGAGAGCGCGGCGATTTTGGGGATGTGGAACAGGTTTTTGAGACGTAGACGTAGACGTAGATACTGGGGAAGTGGTTGTAGAGAGAGTGTTGTGGAATCTACAAGGTTTTCTGCATTGGAGTTTGGATCCGTTATGATTTGACGTAGTCTTATTGGTATGACGTGAAGCGTACGAGTTGATCTCGAAAATAAAGGTCTTTGGTATATAATACTAATTCGAGAATGTATACCAAATACTGGCACGAAAGACCATGAATACCCAAGACACTCATTCACCCATGGGTCTCAGGGCAGCCGGCAACCGGAAGAACACCACGCAATGCTATAAAAACCCAAAATATGCAAGCTTTTGGTGACTTCATCTATAACAGAAAAGATCGAGCTCGAACAGAAAGCAAGCCAAAGCCCAACACAAACCCAACCACACGCTTAGCAGGCCGTTCAGATCTCAATATCCATGCCAATATCCATACTAGCAATGATATCATCATCCATCTTCGGCTTCCTAAACGTGGGCAGACCTTTCCGCTCCGTCTTCTTCTTCTGCGGCTGCTGCGGGTTCGGGGTGCTCGCTCTGCTGGAGCCATCGCCATCGAACAGGGCATCAACATCCAGATTATTGCTCTTCTTGAGCGCCTCTTCCTCCTGCGCCTTGCGAGCTTCTTCCTCGGCCTTGCGCCTAGCAAGTTCCTTCTTCTGCTCCATCTTCTTCTGGCGTTGTTGGTCGAACTGGGCTTTGCGCACGCGCTCGGCTTCCTGGATGCGGTTCTTGCGGTTCAGTTCGGCGATGCGGGCGGCGGCTGTTTCTGATTGGGTTGCGATCTTGGGCTGGGCGTCGGCGTTGGGGCGGTTGAGGAGGTGGGCGTACTTCTTCGACTTGGCGATGCGCGCGCTGATGTCGGCGTCGGTCCAGTGGTGGTTTTGGAGCGCCTTGAGGTCGTCGTATTTGCGCTGGAGGAAGGACTGTGTGGGGACCTTGGCGTTGGTCTCTATGAGGGATTGCCGGTAGGTGTCGAGGTCGTTCTCGGTGAAGCGTTGGTTGGACATGAATTGGAACTGGTAGTCCTTCTTCACGGAGCCGTGTTGCGCAATAACGTATTGGTCGGTCGCGACGCGCTTACCGTCCTTGCCGTCGAAAACGTATGGTTTGCCAGCTGAGAAGCCTGAACAGAATGTTAGCATTGTTTGTAGTACAGCTGGAGCCGTGCATACCCTTGATTTGCGCCATCTTGTACAGTGTCCGCCGTTGTGAGTCCTGACCGACGCCTACACGTCCAAATGCGCCAGTCAGAGCCTCCTCAAAGCCAGGGTGGAAGCAGACTTCTGAGAAGAATCCTCTGCCAACACGAACCGACTCGAAATCGCGTAGGGTGGCAGGCAGCTCTTCGCGGGCCTTCTCTGGTGCTCGGTCGTCCCACTCCACGTCGCTCTCGCCATCAGCGTCGACATCCGAGCCACCGTCACGATCTCCCGAGCTGGACCGCCTGCGGCCACTGCGTCGGTCGTCGTTGCGCTGTCGTTGCTGGCCACGCTGCTCTCGCTCACGCTTGTATGCCTCGAGCTTCTCGTTCTTCCGCGGTTGTACCTTGGGGCGAGTGCTCCTGCGCTCGTCGGCGTCTTCGGAATCAGCCTTGCGCTTCCTGTCGTTCTGGACGTTGGCGGCGCGCCTGGCGAGCTCGGCCTTGAAGTTGGCGCTGCTCATCTCCTCGGCACGCTGACCGAGGATCTCTTCCCGCTCCAGCTGCGATAGGCCCAGGATGCGGCGCTTGTCTGATTCGTCGATGTACTTGCCCTCTAGGGGGTAGGGGACGTCTGCGGAGCGCTCTGGTACGTCATCGTCGCGATCTGAATCCGACTCGTCCATGGCGTCGGAACCCAGCGAGTTTGGCGACGAGGCTGCGGGCGACGAGCTACGTGGAGTCAGCGCCATGTTGCGGTAGGGGGTTGAGCGGTCGGTGGAGAATAGAGCGGAGCGAAACGGAGAGGAGAGGAGCGAGGGAAAGTAGCGAGGCAGAGGCAGAGGAGGAGAATGATAGGTGAGAGATGGTACTCACGCCTCGCCTTCTTCGACGTCTGCATCTTCGTCACCGCCAGCGAGGGCGAAGAGCTCGTCGTCGATATCATCGGCCGACATGTTGGGTGGGATTGGCGAGGATTTCGCGATGATTTCTGGATCGTGGAGGCGCGTTGGAGACGGACCCGGTGTCGCGGAGGGTGCGGTGAGTGAAATTGGGCGTGATTAGGGGGGAAGAGGATGAAAGAAGAACGTGGGAAGTCCAAAGGTCGGGGAAACGCTCGTTGAGCTCAGGCCATGCCGCGTTGAAAAGTGGGTCGTGCTAGCGTGCCTTGAGCGCATCATACCTCACCCGCCTATTGTCCGACTCACTGGATTCGAGAACAATAGCTTCGCCCCTTCACCTGTACACAATAGCCCGGCCTGGAACATGTCTCCCGTCCTGCTCTCACCGCGGGCATTATCGCGCAATGTGGCCCGTCGCAGCCTCCAATACCCTGTGCTCGACTTTCTTGCCCCCAGTACCACATGCCCACCACGCCAAACGTCACGCCTGGCCAGCACCGCCTCCGCACCCCAACCCCCGCCTTCACAGCCCGACTCCGCGCAATCACCGCCCTCACTGCAGGCCCAGAAAGATGGCAAACCAATACGGCCGCTTTCGCAGCAGCAGCAGGAGTTCCTCTCTTCCGCGCTGCGGGTGAACCAGACGGGTGAACTCGCCGCTATCCTCATCTACGCCGCCCAATCGCCCGTCCTCACACGGTCACACCCGCACTTGCGACCGCTGATGAAACACATGTACGACCAAGAAGCCGGCCACTACAAGTTCTTCAACGACGTCATTTCCAAGCACCGCATACGACCCACCGCAATGACGCCCATATGGACCGCCGCCGCCAGCATGCTCGGGTGGTCGACCGCTGTCATGGGCCGCGAGGCCGCCATGGCATGCACAGAGGCTGTCGAGACGGAGATTGGTAACCACTACAATGAGCAGGTGCGCGTGCTGCTAGACTGGGCGAACAAGTGCGAGCAGCGGGGTGAGAGCCTGGGACCCGAGCTGGACAAGTTGGTGGTTGAGTTGCGGCGGATTAGAGATGAAGAGCTAGAGCACCTGGACCATGCGGTGGAGAATGATGCCAAGAGCGCGAAGCCATATGATCTGCTGAATGAAGTCATAAGAGGAGGATGTAGAGGCGCCATCTGGGTGAGTGAACGTGTATAGTGTGATGTATGACTGAGACAATCATGTATATATTGTAACATTAGACACGCATACCTGGCTACTGCGTTTATCTTCTTCCTTCAGGTGAGGGGTGGTGAGGGGTTGATACTTCTGTTGGCGATGCTTCCTTTACCTTTATCATCTTCGTCCTCAAGTCAAAACTCCCACACATCTTCTGCTCAACTCCCTTGCTTTCATACGCCAGTCTCTTGTCTTTTAACCTTTAATACCGATGCTGGTCAAGGTGGTGAGGGGTTCATTCTTCTGTTGGCGATGCTTCCTTACCTTCTTCGCCCTCTAGTCAAAAGTCTTAAACATTTTATACTCAGCTTCCTCACTTCAACACGTCAATCTTTCCTCTTCTCTTCTATCCTTTGATCTCAATGTTGGTGTTCATACCCCACACGTCCCCCAGCCAACTCCATGGTTTTCTCTATTTCTCGCTTTCACCTTCACTTCAACTGCCCACTCCACCAAAACACGCTCTCACCACCACAACAACACTGCCATCACCCCAACAACGCCGCCACCCACTCTTCCCACCACCCACTCTTCCCATTTCCTTTAACCTCTATTCATCCGCCCTCTCTCTCCTAATATATACCACTTACTTCGTCGATTTTCCATCAAAACAAGTGTCCGGCACAACACAAACGACTTGCCAACCGACCCAACTCGGGTTAGGTTAGAGGTTCGATCCCTCTCAGTGACACACATACAGATGGGAGGTTCATCCCCACGGGGCGTCGGGTTCCATATACCTGCAAGCATCGCTTAGCGGGTATATGGAACTTGAGCTGATTCCAGCCAAGGGACGCTTTGGCTGGATGCGCTCGAGTAACGTTTGAGAGTGAACCATCGAACTGGCGGAGGTAGGGGCCAGTTCCGTTGATCTGTTTTTTTTGCTGTTTTTTATGTTTTTTTTGCATGTTGTAGTACAAGCAAGGGCGACACTTTAATAATGTATAGCTAGCGTGTAAGCGGTGACACTCAGTTAGTTCGGGGTGCAAGAGGTAAGTAATTATAAGTCGAAGGTACGTTATGCGTGCGAGGGCGTCAAAGGAGGAGAGTATAGATGGGCGGTGGAGGTAAGTTCAGAAGAAGTAGAGAAGTAATTGCATCATGGTATAAAGAAAAAGCTACAGCGAAGTGATACCTATCTGGCGCACTACATAACACCAAACACCACGCGTGTACATGCTGAAAACATCACCTCCGCAACACCTACTCAAACCCGCCCCCAAGATCACTAAGCACACTCCGCATCCCCTGCTTCCTTCCACCCTCGACCTTCTTCCTCAGCGCCTCCTTCCGCTTCCCCTCCTTCTTCTCCAGCAACGCCCTCCGCTCCGCCTCTCGCGCCTGGGCATGGATGTTGCTCCGTCCCGTACCACCTCTCCTCACCCCACTCTCCTTCGGCGCACTGCTACCCACAGACCGTTCGCTACTGACAGACAGATTACTAGTTGCCTGGCGTATGAGCGACGGTACGCGGAAGCCCGGTGTCGCAGCCGCGCGCGATGGAGCATGGAAAGCCAAGTTGGTATCTGCGCTTACAGACTCCTCGACTGTAGATTGCCGGCTTAGAGTCAGGCGGTCGATGATGGGTTTGCGCGCTGCGGTGACGAAGGCGGGTTCGTGGTCGTCTTCTGCGTCTGAGAGCTGCGAGTCTGGGATTACGATGCGCGTGTCTTCGATGAGCTCTGAGATGGAGTCTCTGACGTCGTCGGCGGTGAGGGGCTTACGCGCGAGGCTTTCGGATGCGGTTGTGCGGCGCATGTGTGGGGGTGGGCGGTTCTCTTTTTGAGAGTCTTGGGACTTGCGCTTGAGTGGGCTGTTTGGTGCTGAGAGGTTCTGGGAGGCGGCCTGGGAGTCTGGGACGGCGATGACGTCGCCTTGAACATCCTCTTGCGACTGCGATTGCGAGTCGTTCATGTCCGGCTCCTTCTCGGGCATGTTGAGATAGTCGTACTCGCCTTCGTCGTCGAAGTCAGCGAGTGTCTTGAAGAACGCCTTCTTCTTCTCGTCGTCGGCGAGTGCCTTGACCTTCTGGTCCTGCAACAAAGCGTTGGTCTGCTTTTGGAAAGCAGCGCGCTTCTTGCGCTGGCGCAACTCGGCCTCGTCTTCAGAGTCAGACATGTCGAAGCCGTCATAGCCGCCACCACCTCTACGAAGGCCACCCTTCCTCTGCATCTTCTTGTAGAGCTCGGCGAGATGCTTTTCGTCATCTTTCTTGGTCTTGTCACTGCATTGCATTAGTATCGACATAACGTATAGATCGAAGTTGAACTTGCGCGTAGAAAGCGGCGATCTGACGCTCGTTGACTTTGACGTCGTTGTGGTCGATCATGTCCTTGAGGTCTTCGTCTTCCTCGCCCTCTTCATCATCACTGGCTCCTCCGAGCCCGGCATATTCGTCCTCAGACTCTTCGGCTTGTTCCATGACGGCTTCTCTCGCCATACTCTTCTTCTTGTCGAATTCCTCAGCTGCCTTGGCCTTCTTAGCTGCTTGCTGCATCTTCATGAAAGCATCTTTGCTGAGCTTAGGAGGGCGTTGGATGTCGTCCTCGCTCTCTTCCTCAGCATCGATCAAGTCGTCTTCAACGTCAGAGAGCTCAACAGCAGCCTCTCGCCGTCCACGTTGAAGCTTGCCCTTCTGCTTGATGGGCGACTCAGCAATGGGCACCATGACGGTATCGGTCGTTGATGGTGGCGGGGCAAGGCCTGCTGGGGACCGAGAGAAGGAGAAGCCTGCATCCTGTGTTGGTTCAAAGTCCTCAACCTGGGTCCGCGAGAACATGGGGGAAGTCCTGACAACTTGGCTGATCCCCATGCTGAACTGAGACTCGTCACCAGTCTGTGTTTGCTTCTGCGGCGACATGAAAGTCTGGCTGTTGGGGACTACAAACTCCGAAGCTTGGCTGAAGTTTGCGGCGGGTTGGGTATCGGGCAGATTTCGCAGGAACTCTAGAGAGTCTTGTTCGGTGTTGACGGCGGCAGCGGGTTGGGAGTCAGACTCCAACTCAGCCATGGTGCCTGCAAACATCTGTGTGAGGCCTATGCCGGTGTTGGCGTTGCCGAACCCAAAGGCGGCCATTGCGTCGGTTTGAGTTGCTGGTTGAGTGGGTGTGGCAGGCCTAGGAGCCTCTGCATCGTCATCGTCGTCATCATCAACGACTCGGTTGCGGGCACGGTTGATGGTTTGCCTTCGGACAGGAGCGACGGCATCTTCGTCTTCCATATCAACATCCTCGTTGACGTTCTGGGCTTGCACTGTCTCCTCTGGCTCGTCGTCCTCGTCGGCCATTCCGTCGATGAGAGGATTATCTTTAGTGTCGTCTTCCATCTGCTCGTCTTCTGAGCCTGATAGAACAACCTCAGCTTCTTCTTGATCATCGTCCTCTTCTTGATTGGCGTCCTCATCGCCGCTACCGACATAGTCGCCGTCTTCATCATCGCTGGAGGGAAGGTCATCGATGGTCTCGCCGTTTTTCTTCGCCTCCTTCCTCTCCATCTTGGCAAGCTCAAGGTCCTCCTGCCTTTGCTTCTCGAGCATTGCGACCATGTCGTCGATCTCCTCTTGGCGCTTCTCCCTCTCCTCTTCAGTCTCAGGGTTGTGGCCTCGCTTGATCAAGTCGGCTATTCTCTCCTCTTTGGCTTTCGCAGTCTGCTGGCGAGCCTTCTGAGCTAGGGCGAATTCCATCTCACCACGAGTCACTATCTTCTGTCCCTTCTTGCCCTTTGGTGGTGACTTGGTCAACTGAGCGAGAGCACGAAGATGTACGAATGACCCTGCCTCGTTATCCTTCTTTGTGGGTAATCGGTCAAAGACGGGGAATCGGCTCTTGGGCTGTTCCACCTTTGCATCATCGTCCGAGTCCGAAAGTTCCACCATGTCATTGTCGGAGGTCTTTTTGGTTTCCACCGCCGCTGTATGCACAGTGACTGGCTCTGCCTGCTTCATCCAAGGATGTACCGGCAAGTGTTGGAACTCGGGTGCTCGCCCTTTGCCCTTGTCCACTCTCGCGGACTCGGGTGGCTGAATGTTGCTTTCGGGCGCTGTAGTAGATGTTTGTTGATCTAAGGAAGCACCCTTTTCTTCCGTAGCATTTTGTCTTTGGGGACTCGTCGGTGGCGTATCCTGTATCTGGTTTGCCTCTGCATCAGACGATGTTAGGGCTGAGCTGGCCTCTGGCGTCGGGAGAGGTACGAATTCGGCGTTAGGCGCTTGGTAGTTGAACTTCTTGAACAGATCCTGGGTCGTGAAGCGCTTCTTTGTCTTGGCTTGATGGGTGAGCTGCATGTTACGGCTTATGCGCTGCTGGTCGCGAGCCATTGCCTCGAGGGCCTTCTTGCCAGCTTTGCGGGTTGGCTTCGCTTGCTGTGTAAGCCGCCTGCCGCTCTCGCCATCCGACTCGCTGCCAGAGCCCTGATCTGCTAGTCGTCGTGCGAGCTTCTTAGATAGTGCCTGCTGCGCCTCCTCCTCTCGCTGTTTCGCCAATCTTTCCTCTCGAATGCGTCGTACCCGCTCTTGCAGGTCGGTAGTATGGATGGGCCGCGAAGACTCATCGGAGTCTGAGCCGGCATTCGCTGATCGCCGTGATGGCTTCTTAGCCGGTGATGGACCCGGGGTCACAAAGAGGCCTGGGGAAGATCGTCGTGACCGTACGCTTGGTGATTCGGATGCTCGAGGGCTTGTAGTCTTCGTCCGGGTTGTAGCTGGTTTGCGGGCATTCGCTCGTACAGGCATTGCGTCCTCATCTTCGCTACTTTCGATGGTAGCAACAATTGCTGCTTCCTGCTGCGCTTGTTGCGGGGCTACCGATTGTGCTGTTGATGAGCTCTTGTTGGCAGCTAGTCGCTTCTTCATGAGTTCGTATGCGTCTTCTCCATCGCTCTCGTCTTCCTCGTCAACCTGCGTTGTCTCCGGCTCCCGACGTGTTGTTGTTGAAGGCTTTGCCCTAAATGTGGGTGCTGTCTCGTTCTCAGATGCAGACGCG